TGCGAGTCCGCTGAAGCGGAAATTGGTTCGCAAATGCGAAATTGCTTGGCAGATTCTATATATTTCGAGGTTTTGGTTCTTTTATCATATTTTGAGATTGGGGGCTCGGATTGAGGCGATTCTTGAAGAAATTTTTACAATGTGACTAGGGGTAAGCATTCTTGACTCAGTCGTGATTTTATTTCGTGATTCTCTCTTCGTTTTTTGTAATTGGATTATGAATTATAAAGGGAAATTGGAGGTTTTAGCCTACAGCTTCATAGAGTGAGTTTTTGAGTTTTGAACATCAATTCAGAGTCGGATTTGAGTGAAACAAGTATTGTTGGACTCATAATTGAATTAGTTTTTGGATTTTATAAGTTTCGTCAAGTTTCAAGGTGCGGGCCCGGATTGGACTTTTGGGTTGATTTTGGGCTTTGATTAAATATTCGACCTTTGTCGATTGACTTCATTTTCTTTGGCTTTATTTGATGTAATTGAGTTACTTTTGGCTAGTGTCGAGCCGTTCGAAGGTCGGTATGCATGGGATGACATTTTTGGAGCATCGCTTGGCTTGTTCGAGGTAAGTAACACTTCTAAACTTGGTGCTGAGGGTATGAACCCCTGAATATACGTGATATGTATTTGGTGTTGAGGTGGCGCACCTACTAGGTGACGGGCGTGTGGGCGTGAACTGTGTGAATTATGACTCATTATCTCTGTGGTACTGTGTAGTTACCTAATCTTATTTGTATCTATGAAATCTCTACGTGCGAGAGTAATTGAGCTATGATCCATGTTAGAAACCATGACTAGGCTATATGCTTATCCTGTTGGGACCCACTAGGTCATTTCTATTGTTGAGTTATTTGCTTTCATTGCCATTACATGCTCAGTCATACGCATTAATTTGCATATCATATCTTAGTCTCTGTTACCTTTTATTGATACATCACATCATCATTTTGGGCTGATTTTCATGACATTGTAAGCCCGGGAGACTAGAGAGATTGATGACTGAGTGAGGCCGAGGGCCTGATGGTGAGGATATTGATGGGATCGGGATGCACGCCGCAGAAGGTATTATTGTTTTATGATGGGATAGGGCTGCACGCCGCAACATGTTTTATTGATTTATGCCATGATTGACTTGTTATAGCGCCTGGGCTAAAGGAGCCTCTCCGGAGTCTGTACATACCTCCAGTGAGCGCAGGTACCTACTGAGTGCGAGTGCGAGTGCCGAGTGATTGGGAGGACTGAGTGACTGTGAGGATTGAGTGACTGGAAGGACTGAGTGAATTGATACTCTGAGAGTATGCATATGGTTTTATCATTGAGTTGCATTGCATTAGACATGCATACTTGACATACAGGCATAGAGATGCATCTTCCTCATACTATACGACATTGTGTCTGACTTCACATACACATTGACATGTAGGCATCCATTTGAAAATGAAACATTTACATGTTGAAAGTTTTGGGAAAAATTATAGTTTTACAAACGTACTCATATTTTTGTAATTTCGGTAAAATATTTGGGTTTTCACAAACATACTTGGAAAGCATGCCTATTTTCCGGAACTCTGAACGAGTTGAGCACTATATCTCTGAGTTACTTCTTTTATCACTTTTATTATATGTTATGAAATTTTGTTGGCTATTGGTGTTGGACTCCGACCTTTGTTCCATCTCGTCACTACTTTTAACCTAAGGCTAGGTTTGTTACTTATTGAGTACATGTGGTCAGTTGTACTCATACTACACTTCTGCACCTTGCATGCAGATGTTAGATGTTGTGTTACTGTGCATGGTGGGAGCTGAATTTGAAGATGTACCTGCATTCCGGTCATAGCTGCCTCTTGATCTTGGTAGCTTTAGAATTTAAATCTGTTCATGTAAATTTCAAACAGATGATGTACTTTATTTCATACCGGCTTTGTAAATTCTAAATCTTAGAAGCTTATGATTTTTACTACCAATCCTTGGGAATTCTTGTATAAAAGCAGTTTTATTATAATATCTTCTCTTAATAAATCTCATTTAAATTGGATAATTGTTAATTGACTTACCTGACGAGTTGGGTTAGGTGCCGTCACGAGTAGGTGGATTTTGGGCTGTGACAGTAATTTATTTGTTCTTTATATAGATACAATATCGTAGTTGGATGTATAATAAGAATTATCCTAATCGTCAGTTGTTTAGGGAGGAATTTATAGAAGGGGTTAAGGAATTTATTAGGCATGCAATGTCACTTGAACCGTTTCGGTTTGGAGGATGATTAGGTGTACTTGTACGAAGTGCAAGTGTTTGAATTTTTTGGATTCGGAGGATGTTACGACTCATCTTTATAGAAAGGGATTTATAGATAATTATTTTGTGTGGACTAGTCATGGAGAGGTTGATGGTACAATCGGTGCATTTCATAACGTAATTGTTGGTGAAAGTAGTAGGTCGGTGGAGAATAGCGTTCAACATCCTAGATACCATGAAATGGTTGCGGATAGTTTTGGGATGCACTTCGATTTTGAAACCCATGAAAGTGTTGAACAACCTCATAAAGAAGAAGCAAAACATTTTTATGAACAGTTAGAGGCCGCTAGTCGTCCACTAAGGGAAGGGTGTATGCATTCTCAGTTGTCTGTTGCAGTTAGAATATTAAGTATCAAATCAGATACCAATATTTCTCAAGCGGGAATGGATTCTTTCATTAGCCTTATGAGTTAACTAGATGACCCCACTTCCTCCACATGATCATGCATATAGTTACATAGGTCCATCGAGTCAGTAGTCACAGGGCCATGTAGTGATACGTCCGTCTTCTGCTCCATTTGCTTCACCACCAGCTGGATCGCATCCATCTAGATTTCAGCCACCCGGATCGCATCAGTGGTCTGGATTGCAGCAGGGGTCTAGATCACATCCATCTTCATGAGCGACCCAGTCTCCCTCTCCACCGAGTTCATCTCCTAGCATTTCTAGACTTCGCCTTCGGGATAGTAGCACTGAGCTAGATGCCTCCCCTTCTACGCTTGCTTCAGATTCATCGGAGGATGATGATCTAGAGGAAGTGCAGTATAATCGTTATCATAAGATAATTATCAGGCCTAAAGGCAATGTGTAAGATTTATTTATTAATTTTTTATTTTTTCTAAATTATACTAGCTAGTCTTGTTTATTTAATGTAATTGCTATGTTCCAGGTCCATACCTAGTCATCGAACTACAAAGATAATCACTGATGCTCTAGTCCGTTTGTATGATGCTCCCTATGTGACTTGGAGTAAATTTCCACCGGAGCTCGTGGAGCAAATTTTTAACCAATTTAAGGTTTTAATATAATTTTTATCTATTTAAGCATTATACTAACAATAATTCATCTAACGCTACACACTTCATTTGCATACTAAGTGTGCCTGGTAGGACCGAAATAACAGTGACATTCTTGCAAATTTAAAGTTCAAATGTCGTAAGAGACTATCTGATTCCTTCTGTTCTGCTTGGAAGAAGAGAAAGAAACCTTCATGGGTTCTACCGCACATATGGGAGGATTTGTTGAGGCAGTGGACTACTGAGAAATTCGAGAAGAGGAGTGAACAGGGAAAGAAGGCTCGAGCATCTGAGAAGGGTTGCTCCTTGCACTGTGTGGGTGCAAGAAACATGGGGACTGCGAGGAGACTACTGGTAATTCCTTAAAATATTTAATTCTATTTGTATTGAACTATATTTATATATTTTAATTTAGTTAACATGTTTTATTATATTCGTAGGAAAAAAAATATGGGAGGAAGATGACTCATGATGAGTTCTTCATAGAGACTCATATCCGGAAGAAGAAGGCACCGAAAGATCCAACTGGATGGGTCGAGGACCGGGCGGAGACTACATATATAAGTTTCATAACTACTATAACTTGAAATTAGTATTTATAATATTATATAATTAATAATTTTCTATCTTCTAAATAAAGAGTCTCGATAAGACTAATTTGGAGGAGTACACTTAGAGCTTGCCACCGAATGAGCAAGGCGAGCGACCACCCCTTTCAGACGAAGAAGCGTAGAAGATATAATTGGATGTTGTCAGTGGTCCTAAAAAGGGGATAGCATACTGCCTTCCAGAGAGATCATTTCGACGCTACAAGGCTGAATTGCAAGGTAAAGGGACGGATCACAAAGCTGACACTAGAGCTTGAAGAGACAAAGACTATAGAACAAAAGAGAGATAAATAATTTGATACCCCTCAAGTACAACTAGAAAAGAGGGACCAACAATTTAATGTCCCTCAAGGTCAGTTGACCAATCTTCTTGCTAGTGGTGCTTTTCCCATTCCCCGGTCTTGTAAGCCTTCCCCAGATGTGTCTCCTTCTCGTCTTGATCCTTCGAACCATGCCGTCGATGAAGGTTCTAGTAGTGGGGATGGCGATGATGTAGTACAAAACACTCATTGAATGATGTTTGAATTTTTAACTTGTGAAACGTTTTGTGGTTGGGTATGATGTTTTGTTAATATAGTTTAGTGGAGATGGAGATGATGTTTTGTTAATAATATAGTTTTGATAGTTGTTATTGTTGTTGTTATTGTTATTATTATTGTTGTTATTGTTGTTGTTATTGTAGTTATTGTTGTTATTGTTATTATTATTGGTTGAATGACAATAATGTAATGCTGCCATTATAGGTGATTGGTTGTTGGTAGGTGGTGCAGCTGTAAAACAGCTGTATTCTGCCAAACAAATACCCAGAAAATCGACCGCCTACCGACCGAAGTCGGAAATGTTCATTTGATTTGCCAGAAATTTAAATTTACCGACCGACTTCGGTCGAAATTTTTTTATTTTAAATATTAAATATTTTAATAATACCGACCGACTGCGGTCGAAATTTTTTATTTTAAATTTTAAATATTTTAATAATTCTGACCAAAATCGGTCGGAATTGAACAATTTAAAAAAATAAATAATTAAAATTCTGACCGACGTCGGTCGGTAATTTAAAAATAATTAAAACTATTTTCAAAAATACCGACTAAATTCGGTCGGTAAGATTATTTTGTGTGAGATAACTTGGTCAAAGTGTGTTGACAATTACCGACCGACTGCGGTCGCTCCTCAATTGCGACCATTCTTTTTTCGACGAATTGAAAATGGTCATAAATTGGTCGGTTTCTATTCTATTCCTATCGATTTCAGTCGGTTATTCTAGACGCTTTTTGACAGTTGTTTTTAGTAGCGACACTTGTTGAGAACGAGGTTAAGGGAGGGGCACGTTCAGATTTATTCCCAGCACATTTGCTCTTATGGCTGTGCACAAACAAACTGCCGCCTCTAAATCCGCCAGCCCCGCGATCAAGCTGCAGCACGGCAAAGTTGGAGGAGAACCCACTATCGCTCCCACCAATCCACCAACTATGTTTGCACATACACCCAACTTCAGAGCATCTCTCGGGCACCTGCCTTGCCCATTTCCAGCTCCACTGCCATTGCCAGCACCACTGCCTTTTCCAGAATCTCCATCACCAGTGTTATGGCAAGTGTCACAATGGTTTACAGTAACAAGAGCAAAGAAGAGGAGATTCAGTGACAGGAAAAGGGTGACTGAGGCCTGAGCTTTGGAAGCCATGTCAACAATGCTAAAGTTGAAATATTTGCTGCCTACTAATGAGAAAAGGAGTTTAATTCTGAAGAGGATGTTGAATTGTAGTAGTAACGGTGTCTATTTGTACTTGTAACAAGGCTGACCGCTGCACATAAACAATTATAGACGTACCAACTAATTGAAGCTACTATTAGCATATATTTGTAGTAAATAATTCCCTCCGAAGAGAGTCTTGAATCAACATAGCGTAAAATTGTCCGATTTGGTTCAATCCCGCATAATTTTTTCTAAAATATCTCATACCATAAGAATATTTCTTTTGTTTTTTTTTTCTAGTTACTAATACGAGACTTTGTTCGCAAATCTAATAAACTTTCCCTCGAACTAATTAAGTTCCACATGACTCATCACCAAGCCTCTGGGATTAAGTTCATCATCAACACTGTGTACCCCACCCACATCGTCCAAGTATTGATACTTTCTGAAGCCCACAAACAAGCTTCTTTTTGTGTGTACGTCTCGAAGCTCCGGGAAAGCAATCAAACCGAGCCCCATACGATCACACCACTATAGGCTGGGATATTAAGCCAGCTCAAAGATAATCTTAACATGATGCGATAAATATTGCTCCTTTGGCCTGATCTTGTACTGTTTTTAATAATAGGGCTCACACAATTTAGAGTATCTCGACACTGCCTTATGTAATTTTCTTTTATTTTTAACTACCAATCTTAGACTTTATTCGCACACCCAACCATATAACTTCAATTAATAGAAAATTGTTTTTATCCTTGAATGGTAATGCATGAGTTGTGTGGTGTTGAAAATGTTAAGGAAGCATGGCTATAATTGTATTTGGCTGAGATTACTTAATTAATTGCTTACAGCTCTTATTTTAGCCTCTACTATTATTAGAAATTCCCGTGATCCAAGGCCGTATCTCTACAGAAAAATGTTTTCCATAATTCTCAATTCTCATAACATGGGTGTTAAGATATTTCCCCTTATACGCGTTCATCTTAGCACTCCAAATTTGAACTCTTTGAACATAACTCCATGTCAAGACAAACTTAATCAAATTATTGGAACAATGACTGCTTGATCTTGCTTTATTATCATCTAGTCGTGCATCTTTTTCATTTGAATGAAATGGAAAGACATGTAAACTGGAAAAAGAAGCTCATCAGTTTTCTTACAAATTTTCAAAGGTTACTTGTTTCGTAATGATTTTGTTCAATAGACGACGACAACAACAACAACTCAGTATAATCTTACTAGTGGGGTATGGGGAGGGTAGTGTGTACGCAGACCTTACCCCTACTCTGGAGTAGAGAGGCTGTTTCCGATAGACTCTCGGCTCCCTCCCTCCAAGAACTCCCCAAGTTGTTCAATAGGTGAGCATGAAAAAGTGGAGAAACAAAATTAGGTTCGCCATTTGAATTATTGTCTCTACTAATTATGCACTAGGAAATAAGAATCACTTTTTATAAAGGATTAAGTAATTGTTTTTGCCCAAATTAGGGTAATCTACAGATACAGGACAAGGTAGAAGCAAATACATAATGAAGTTAGGAGCCTCTAAATCACGGGATAGGGTTGTTGCGTGAATCTAATTGAGGTAATTAAGTATTCCTGCAGGTTCATGTGAAGTATTAGTTTAATAATCATATCCAAATGAAAGATATCGACACCATCATTGTCTAACCTATTTTGTTTTTTGTTTAATATTACTTGAGTTTTTGAAGGTAAAGAAATTCGAAAAATCAGAGTATATGCGTGTGTAATTTTTTCTCGCTTGAGTCAAGAAGTTTGATGGTTGCAGCGGTAAAACGCACACGCGAGTATACGCGATCGTTAAGTAATAAAGTGATAAGATAAATTGTCGAATCTACGAGGACTTATTATCAACTATTAGCTAGATCAAACTATACTAATTATCTAAACAAAGATTAAACCCAAAAGTAGTGATGCTAAATTAATTAAACTAAAATAAAAATAAATAATGAACTCTGAACAAAAGATGGGCAGATTTTTATGTTATCAATGTAATGAAAACGATCTAGGGTTATGGGCTATCTAACATTCCTATTGTAGTCTTCAATTGAATGGCTAACTAATTCATCTAGTTTATTGGTTGACATGGTTAATTTTGCTCATAAGAATCTGTCAAATTCTTACTCGCCTACTCAAGCTAACCTAACACATATATGTCTATGGAATTAGAACTAACAAGAACGTATTTAAAATTTCTGTATATCAACCAAGCAAGGCAATTAGGTATATGTCTATCCTAACCGTGAATCCGTTCCCCGATACCTAGGTTCAAGAACTTGCTCTACTCAATCCTATGTGCAATCTAGAATTCTCACTTTCGAGTTTAATTCTAAATTCATAGATAGTATTCAATTGGTGATCAAGTAATTAAATAATTAAGCGCAAGATTGCATAAATAAACCAATATGATAAATCAAGAAAGCAAAATCAATATCCGAATAATAATGGTCATGAAAGAACCACAAACCCTAGAACGTGAAGTTTAGCTACACATAGATATGGTAGCCAAACAATAAATCATACAAAAAAATATAAAAATTACTAAGTTTGGTGGAAGAAGATGAAATTCACCCTCCACGGTGGCTCCTTGCTCTCCCTAGGTCGAATCACCTTCAAAAAGTGTGTTCGATGACCTAAAAGAGGCATTTTTGGCTTATATATTACATACAAAAGTGGTGGGCCAAAGTTTCCCTTTTTCTTTTACGAATCAGTTTCAAGGATTGATGCTGAGTTGGATGCTTCGCGTCCGCCTCAGCTTGAACTTCTCGGCATCGAATGATGGGGTGGATGCTTCGCGTCCACCCTTTGTTCCCTTAATTTTGCTGCCCCCAGGTGCGGATGCTAAGGTGGATGCCTTCTTAAGACTTTACTGCTAAGGGTGCTCCAAATAGCCTTTTTTCCAAGGTTGGATGTGACGCATCCACCCTCTTCTCTTATAGATGGAGCATCTTTTCTTTATATTTTTTCACTCCATCATCTCTAGTGAAGGAATTAAGATTGATGCTCAGAAAATCGCAGTTGTGAAGAATTGGCCTAGACCTACAACTCCAGCAGAGATTCACAGTTTTTTGGGCTTAGCTAGGTATTACAGGAAGTTCATGGAGGGGTTCTCTACCCTTGCCTCTCCGTTGACTAAATTGACGCAAAAGGCAACTAAGTTCCAATGGTTAGATGCTTGTGAAAAGAGCTTCCAAGAGTTGAAATGAAGATTAACTACGGCGTCGGTGTTGACCTTACCAGAAGGTACAAATGGATTTTTGGTATATTGTGATTCTTCAAGGATTGGACTTGGGTGTGTATTGATGTAACATGGCAAGGTGATCGCTTATGTCTCAAGGCAACTCAAGAATCATGAAAAGAACTACCCAATACATGACTTAGAGCTTGCGGCGGTGGTTTTCGCATTGAAGATTTTGGCGTCATTATTTGTATGGGATCCATGGGGATATATTCACGGATCATAAGAGCCTTCAATATATTTTCAAGTAGAAGGAATTGAATCTGAGGTAGAGAAGTTGGCTTGAGTTACTCAAAGACTACGACATCGATATCCTATATCATCCGGGGAAAGCTAATGTTGACACGAATGCTCTTAGCCAGAAATCCATGGGTAGTTTGGCTCACTTGGAGGCATATCGAAGGCCATTGGCCAAGGAGGTTCGTCGGTTGTCTAGTTTGGGAATTCGTCTTGCGGACTCTAGTGAAGGAGGGGTGATTGTGCAAAATAGGGCTGAATCATCGCTTGTTGTGGAGGTCAAGGAGAAGCAATACAACGATCCGTTGTTGGTTCAGTTGAAGGAGGGGATTCATAAACATAAGACTATGACTTTTTCTCTTGGCATGGATTATGGTACACTAAGGTACCAAGGGAGGTTATGTGTTCCAAATGTAGATGGTCTCCGGGAAAGAATCATGATCGAGACTCACACTTATAGGTATTCCGTGTACCCAGGCTCTACAAAAACATATCATGATATTAAGGAAGTCTACTAGTGGAATAATATGAAGAGGAATGTAGCGGACTTTGTGGCAAGATGTCCAAATTGTCAGCAAGTGAAGGCCGAACACCAAAGGCTTGGTGGGTTGACACAGAACATAGAAATTCCAATGTGAAAGTGGGAGATGATCAATATGGACTTTGTGGTAGGACTACCTCGCACTCCTCACAAGTTTGACTCGATTTGGGTAATTGTGGATGGACTCACTAAATCGACACACTTTTTACCTGTTAAGGCCACCAACACAGCAGAACAATATGCTCAGTTGTATATCAAGCAAATAGTCAGGTTGCATGGCATTCTTGTTTCTATCATCTCAGGTCGAGGGTATAGTTCACAACTAACTTTTGGAGGAAATTTTCGTAGGGTTTGGATACTCAGGTGAATCTTAGTAAAACATTTCATCCACAGACTGATGGGCAGGCAGCGTGAACCATTCAGACGCTCGAGAATATGTTGCATGCTTGTGTTCTTGACTTCAAGGGTAGCTGAGATGATCATTTGCCACTAATAGAATTTGCCTACAATAACACTTATCATGCTAGCATTTAGATGGCACCGTGTGAGGCTCTGTATGATAGGAGATGTAGATCTCCCATTGGGTGCTTCGAGACTGGGGAAGCAGAGTTGATTAGGCCAGACCTCGTACATCAGGCTATGAAAAAGTTTAAGATCATTAAGGAACGGCTGAAAACTGCTCAGAGTTGCCAGAAGTCCTATTCGGATGTGCGTCACAGGGATTTGGAATTCAAAAAGGATGATTGGGTATTCTTGAAGGTTTCCTCCATGAAAGGTATAATGCGATTTGGTAAAAAAGGAAAATTGAGTACAAGGTATGCCGGGCCATATAGAATCATTCAGAGGGTGGGTCAAGTGGCTTACAGGCTTGAGCTACAACTGGAGATGTCGTTGGTGCACCCGGTGTTTCATGTATCTATGTTAAAGAAGGTAATTGGAGACCTGTCACTTATTTCCCCAGTTGAGACTCTCGAGGTTAATAAGGAATTGACTTTTCCGATTGCCATTCTTGATAG